TGCCGTCTGTAACTTGTGTATTAGTAAAAAAAAATGTTTTTTCTTTTGTGACTAGTGACAGATAAGTAAAGTCTGTGTTTATTATGGCGTACACTGAATTCGGTATCTATTACGCCGGTGACCATTACATCACCTGTCGTTTTTAAAATTCAGATTCACGAATTAGTTGCTGAACGAAAGTGTCAACGTGTTGTTGACACCCATGCCTGTCAATCAAAAATAGACAACAGGTTCAAGATGCAAACTTTAGATTGTGGTCTTTCAACAACACCTAAATCACGCCAAGAAATGATTTGTGTTTTTTTTAAATACCGATCACAATCAAACTTATTTAGATTTATATCCTCAGCATTAAACGTAGACTGTCCCAGTTGACTGACATGGCATTTTTTGTTTTATACGATAATTCCTTCGCATTTCATAGAACCTCTCTTGTTGACCACGATTTAACAAAATGTATACAAAATTTCCACTTTTACAAATTTTTCCTGACTATAATAATTGGTTACTAAATTAACTATTGAGTCATTTCCCATCGTACCACATTAAATTGAGTACTTTCGGTATACTTGTATCGTTCGTAAGAACAAAACAATAAATAATGGCTTGGTTAACTTTGAACATGGGCCTGCCTTCTTGCTTAAGTTCTTTCTGTCGTGACCTTCATATATTCATCACTGAAAACAAGTTTTATTGCTAGGTAACAGATTGCATTTATATCAGTAGCACATGTAGACTTGATCAATACGGCATCTGCGTGCTCGCAGAACCAACACGCAGATCAACACGCAAAACGCACTCGCAAATACGCTTTTGAGGTACCCATACATACCCCGACCGAAGTTGTTTCCCCAAAACGTACAGACCAATGTTCACATGAAACGCAGGGTCGAATGCTGTTCCACTTAGTAAACGCACCCAAGAGAGATTAGTGACCCTGGGGCGTAACGGTCGATCCTCAAGTTAATTTGGACGATGCTACCGTAATCGATGAAGACACTCTAGTATCATACACACGGCGATTTGTTTATGAATAAATTAGCATAAATTATCGTTCGTGAAAGGTTTTCCGTTTATAAGCCCCCCCTCCAATTTTTCGTCAATTTGCCGTTTTCCCGGAGGGGTTTATACTCAAACAACTACGGTATGCCGGTATCAATTCTGAAGTTGATGTGATCATTGATTTTAGTACTAGTCACAGACTCCCGACTTTCATGCATATTGGTACATATGTATAAAGTAAATATGATTGGACATTTGATGATTCAACTAATCAGTTCACTCTCAAATACAAAATATAATACTTTCTATTTCATGTTTGTGCTGCTTCATTTTAATCGCGTAATTTTATTATTCTCTTGTTTAGTGCGTGGGTGAAAGACGACAATTTAAAGCCTTATGTGGAATATAAAGAGAAGTTATCTAAAGCTGCCAAAGGTATTCGGTTTCAGCGTGCCATAGAAGCCATAGAAGATGTCATTAGTAATATGTCATCAGACAGATCAAGGGTAGGTGTAATGTGTCATTAATGATACGACTGTCAGATGAAGAGTACATGTCTGTCAGTAAATGTAATTATGTCATCAGACAGATCACGAATAGGTGGAACATATGATATGATTATATACCCGTAGCTCTAAATATCTGATATGTCAGGCAAATCAGGGGTAGATGTAATATGTCATGATATGTCATCAGACAGTTAAAGTGTAGGTGTAAATATGTCATTAGTAATATGTTAAGACAGACCAAGGGTACATGTAGGTATAAATATGTCATCAGACAGATCAAGTGTGTAGGTGTAAATATGTCATCAGACAGATCAAGGGTACATGTAGGTGTAAATATGTCATCAGACAGATCAAGTGTGTAGGTGTAAATATGTCATCAGACAGATCAAGTGTGTAGGTGTAAATATGTCATCAGACAGATCAAGTGTGTAGGTGTAAATATGTCATCAGACAGATCAAGTGTGTAGGTGTAAATATGTCATCAGACAGATCAAGTGTGTAGGTGTAAATATGTCATCAGACAGATCAAGTGTGTAGGTGTAAATATCAGCAGACAGATCAAAGGTGCAAGTAGGTGTAAATATGTCATCAGACAGATCAAGGGTACATGTAGGTGTAAATATGTCCTCAGACAGATCAAGGGTACATGTAGCTTTAAATATGTCATCAGACAGATCAAGGGTACATATAGGTGTAAATATGTCATCAGACAGATCAAGGGTACATGTAGGTGTAAATATGTCATCAGACAGATCAAGGGTACATATAGGTGTAAATATGTCATCAGACAGATCAAGGGTACATGTAGCTTTAAATATGTCATCAGACAGATCAAGGGTACATGTAGCTTTAAATATGTCATCAGACAGATCAAGGGTACATATAGGTGTAAATATGTCATCAGACAGATCAAGGGTACATGTAGGTATAAATATGTCAACAGACAGATCAAGTGTAAGTATAAATATGTCATCAGACAGTTCAAGGGTACATGTTGGAAATATGTCATCAGACAGATCAAGTGTAGGTATAAATATGTCATCAGACAGTTCAAGGGTACATGTTGGTGGAAATATGTCATCAGACAGATCAAGGGTACATGTAGGTATAAATATGTCAACAGACAGATCAAGTGTAGGTATAAATATGTCATCAGACAGATCAAGAGTACATATAGGTGTAAATATGTCATCAGACAGATCAAGGGTACATATAGGTGTAAATATGTCATCAGACAGATCAAGTGTAGGTATAAATATGTCATCAGACAGTTCAAGGGTACATGTTGGTGGAAATATGTCATCAGACAGATCAAGTGTAGGTATAAATATGTCATCAGACAGTTCAAGGGTACATGTTGGTGGAAATACATGTATGTCATCAGACAGATCAAGTGTAGGTATAAATATGTCATCAGACAGATCAAGAGTACATATAGGTGTAAATATGTCATCAGACAGATCAAGGGTACATATAGGTGTAAATATGTCATCAGACAGATCAAGGGTACATATACATGTAGGTGCAAATATGTCATCAGACAGATCAAGGGTACATGTTGGTGGAAATATGTCATCAGACAGATCAAGTGTAGGTATAAATATGTCATCAGACAGTTCAAGGGTACATATAGGTGTAAATATAAGCAGACAGATCAAGGGTATGTGTAGGTATAAATATGTCATCAGACAGATCAAGTGTAGGTGTAAATATGTCATCAGATCAAAGGTGCATGTAGGTACGACCAATTACTAGTAAATCATTAATGTGATGTTCATAAAGAGAAAACAGAAACCTAAATTGCCAGCACTAGAATAGTTGAATTATCTGTATTATGGGCTTTGTTTCATTATTTATCACAACTTTACATCATTGCATGTTATTGTATACCATATGCTACATTCAGGTTGACCTGATTATGCCTCGTAATATCCTAGTCACTACTTGATTAATTAACAGAAAGTGCAGGCATGTGTCTGTTTAACCACTTTGCAAACTGTGAATTGCCTGCAATCATGTACATTGTAGCAAGTGATGACACAAAACACAATTTGTAGCCATATTTACAGCATGTTGTAACTTAGATAGTTGAGATCACTGTCATGTATAATATTAACTTAGCGTAATACAGTAAGCAATATTGATTACTAACTTTGTTAATTATTCATGGCATCATTAATTTCACTTCAGATAGATACTTGGTCCTGTTGTCATCATTATAATTTATATTAAATATTTTCATTTTTGGATATAGTTTGGGATGAGATTCGATCAGTAGTTTTAAATACTACCTAAAATTAGCAATTAAGTAGGATATGTGCAACTTTTCAAACTGATTGTGAGAACCCAAGTTTAATTTGAGATATAAAAATGAATAAATTATACCATTAACATGCTGCATTACCTCCGTAAATAGTTGATACTGAAGGAGCATTGTAGGCTATGATGACATAGGGACTCAGTTACATTCATGCATTGCTCCATTTCTAAGCTGAAATGCAAATGATTTCAATTTTCAAATATACTTGATTTTGTCCCAAATCAAGATATAATATTATCTGTAAAATATTCGTTTAATATCGAAACCTTCTTTCAGCATTCATTTTGTACACAGACTTGAAAAATCATCATTATCGTCTACCGTTTTAATTGGCATTATCAATTTTTGCGTTCCACTTTTTTTAAACTTTGGTAAATAATTATTGACAAAAGAAGCTATTCTTTTGAGTTTTATTTTTTGGCTCTCCCCTTTGAAACCATTTCTGCATTTCGTGACGTAGGCTTTGGATCGACAAAGACCACCACCAGAAGGCCAAGAGGATGACATCTTTCCCAAGGCGAGGTCTAAAAAAGATTATTCCCGATTTCTCGGTAAACCTAAAGTAAGTACACCATTGTGGTATTCATCATATCAAGCCACCATCGGTGTGTCATATGTAAGCTAATTCATGATTGGGTATTCAGAACCTTACTAAAGAAGTTCACCCAATCAGGTTTGAGGTTGCATTTCTCACTGATGTGAAGTCATCTCATTATTATCATGTTTTGTGTAAGATAATCTCAACTTGTCACTCTTGTACTGTTAACCATTTAATTTTCACTGCCATAAATTTTAGCAATTTGTGGATTTCATGACATTCTTAAAGACAACATTTCACGAAAGTCACTCTATGTTGTAAGGACAGTAGAGAAATTTTTACTGCAACAAAATTTAGTGATTTCATTAACTTAAATGATTCACGTTATATCATTTGAAATTTTGTTGACATGTGATTGTCTTGCACAATGAACTAACACATCACATTAATAGTATGGATTGTCTGTTTGTATACCGTAAAACCATTTATTTTCACTGACATGTTTTAAGCTTATTCTCTGTGTTTTTAAGTTTTATTGTTATTTTACATATTGACGTAGATTTAATTTAGTTGATTATATATACTTATCAGCGAAAATAGCGAAATTTATAACCCAGCGGATAATTAATGCATTTACAGTACATATATGGCAGGAATTGAGTTTTGTGCACTCTGTTTGCTTACGAGCTTGTGACAATGTCAATCTCACAAGCAGAATATGTTACCCGGTACTACTTCTAGTCATCAAGATTATCCCGTTTTACACCCATATATGATATTTTAATATGCCAGTTTCAGTTATGAACCGACCATTGATTTTGTATTGTAGGCATCTAGGTTGCCTTTGAATATTGATGAAATGTATGTAAAAATCAGTGAAACTTAATTATTTTATTCATACACATGGATGAAATAAGACAAACTATATGGTATCCATTTATAGACATCCCTCAGTGCCATCGGTTGAGGATATACTGGAATACTGTAAATCTCTTTAATTTTGTGAGAAAAAAAATGTTGTGAGTCTTTCAAAATTGTAAAATTGTTTAACAGTGATAATTTCTCTGCGGTTCTAATGACTCAGAGTATCAGAGACTTTCTTGATATTTTGTCTTCACCAATGCCATAAAATTATCTAATCGCAAACATTACTGGCAGTTAAGAGGTTTACAGCATTGAATTGTTACTTATATCAACTAAAATGGTGCGCATATTGATAGCCATAGTGTTATCGCCAATTTCATCAGCTTTGTATTGCAATCTTATTTACCTTACATAATCTTGTGCGTGTCGCCAGTATGTCATTATGATAGCAATTCACTCTAGGTAACCCCCATGTCCATCCCTGCTTCTTGACTTCATCTTCATATCCATCTTCTGCCTCTCTTCCTGTGACTAGCAGGTGTCCATGTGATGACTAGTCTGGGTTAAGCTGTGCCAAAGCATGTTTTCAGCTGAAGTCCAAAGCCTAACAAATGATCTTACTATGCTTCAACACATAACTAAAACTATTTATTGGTCTATGTATTCAATTTCAGATGAATTAACACAAACCAGTAAAAATACATGTAAAGTTTGTGTGTTTCAACTTCACAAAGTTATGTGTGGGAGAATACCCAAGGAATTGTGAATGATATCATTGACTAGTGTGCATGAATTAGCATAATATGACTATCAATTCTGTCGTTTTTTAGCTCCGCTGTCGACTTTGTCCAGCAGAGCTTATCACATGAATGATTGTCTGTAGTTTATGTCAACTTTTTACTTTTTCGACTTCTTTTTGAAAACTACAATTCTTATTGCCTTAATACTTGTAGTATATGTACCTTGGGCAGACCTCTCTTAGATTGTTCATTTCTTGATGATATCTTCAATTTTCTAATTTTGATGAATATTTTTGTAATTTTTTGTAAAAAGTGATATTTTCGACTTCTTGTTGAAAACCGCATGTCTGATTGCTTTAATACTATACGTATGGGTACCTCCAGTAGACCTCTCTCAGATTTATTCATTTTCTAATGATATCTTTAATTGAAACGTGCATTGCTAACAGCAGAGCTGTCTCAGCCGAGATTCTGCTTGTTTGATAACGATTTCACACGATTGATGGCTGATTGAGAGTCAAGACACACTTCATCATTGACTTAATAATTGTTATTACATTGCTTATTGCAGGGTGAAGTGACAAAAACTACACTGCCTCCACAGAATCCAATTTCAAATAAAACAAGTTATGCATCCAAAAGGGTATGTAAACATATGGTTAAATGTAAACATTTGATAAAGTGTGCAAGTGTGTGGGAGTTCATCGGTTTGTTGTCTAAATGGTGTTCAGAATATTGTATTTGCTCCGAAATATGCACTTATTGTGTACTTGGTCATAGATCATAGATACGCCTCTGTTATTAGAAGCATAGTTACTACTAATAGAAGAAATATGATAACCATTAAGCAGTGTTTGTCAACAACTTCAGATAGTGTGTGTAAATTACTGGTATTGCATCTGGGATCTCCCCATCTATCCCTATCACCCTCAATGATATTTATATATGTCATGGCATAATTAATTGTTTATGTCATCTCTAATCATACATGGAAAGAACCCTTGTGTACTTGGGTGCACAAGTCTTCCAGTGATTGCTAGTGTCTAGTTCAATGTTTCCAGCACTGATAGTGACCAATCCAGTCTTTTTAGGACTTCAATTGTCAAGTATAGTCTCCTCAGGATCAAATCAAGTCAAATCTTCCCTGGGGCTGATTTAAAAGTAAAAATATATAAACTATAATATAAATTTTTTTTTGTAAATTTCAACAATTCACAGTTGTATTCGGGTAGCAAACTCTCCCACTAATTTGTCAACATCTTTGCTTTAGAATTATATACTAATATACAGAAACTCATTTTGTTCAGAGATACAGTGCTGGGCTTCTATTCTGTCATCAATTAATCTCTAAAGAAATATGTTTAAATAGCTACATGCCATTTTAGCGAATTTGACTCCATGCATGAATTAACAATCTTAATTTATCGATGTGCCAACAATATCATTGTGAGAATATGACAGAACCCC